TTTGCTTCAGAAAGAAGACAATGCTCTGCTTTTGGTGGGGTCAGGAAGGTGTGGTGTATTATGAGCTTCTAACACCAGGTGAAACCTTTAATACCGATTGCTACTGACAACAAATAACCAATTTGAACCACTCTTTGGTTGTAAAATGACCAGAATGGACCAGAAGACACCGCAAAGTAATTTTGCTTCATGATAATGCACCACCACATACTTCAAAACCAGTTAGACATGTTAAAAGATCTTTCCTGGGAAGTATTAACCCACCCGCCATATTCACCAAACCTTGCTCCTTAAGATTACCACTTGTTCCAATAGATGGCACACCCACTTTCTGACCAGCACTTCAAAACGTAAGAAGTGGGAAATTGGGTCTCTGAATGGTTTGCCTCAAAGCAAGAAAAGTTCTATTGGGATGGTATCCACAAATTACCTGAAAGATGGGGAAAATGTGTAGCTAGAAATGGACATTACTTTGAATAAAGCACTTTTGATGTTTCTCTTGAAATTATCGTGTTTTCTTTGATTACAAAATCTGCATTATTAACCGGTACACCTAGTAAATTCTTGAAGACTTGTATTCCTTATTTATAAAATAGTGAAAATAATATAAAATTCAGAGATGTTATGATGATTAAATAAAATAATGAATGGAAAGCACAGTGCTTAGAAAGAGGTAGTAAGTACACAAGTACTTAGAAAGAAGTAGTAAGTTCCTATCATATCTCAGTGAATGGCACTACTATTCATAAAGTAATCATAGCTAAAATTTGTTATTTATAAACATTGTTTCTTTACTCCTTATATCCAACTGGTGGCTAAATATTGATTCTAGCTCTTAAATATTTCTCAAAGTTGCCCTTTCCTCTTCATTTATACTGCTTAACCTACTGCAAATCTCTTAACTGGATCTCTAATATTTTCTAATCTAGCCTTAGCAATGTGCCAGCTTCCAGACTCTCCTAAATCCATCCTGTCATCTGATAGCAATGCTCTGATGGATATCAGCTCCCATCTCCAGCTTCCTCTCATGTCACTGCTCCATAAACTCCACTGAAGCTCCCTGCATTCTCTAAGTTGAGGCAACTGAATAAACACATGTGACAAAGTCAACTTTTGTCAAATAACATCACCTTTGCTAGGACCAAGACAAGTAGAGCCATGTGGCACAGTGGGAAATCATGAACTTTGGCATTAAATAAATTTCAGTTCCACTTCTGGCTCAGTTACTTCACTGTTTTTGTAATTTGGAGTAAGTAATTCAAACTCTCAAAGTCTGTTTCCAGATTTTTAAAACAGGGATACATAATACATATATTTAGGGTTGTTATAAGGAACTAGAGGCCTGGTGCACAAAAATCTGTGCACTCGGGGGCATCCCTCAGCCCAGCCTGTGCCCAGCCTGAACCCTCGGGGGAATGAGCACCTGCTGGCTTAGGCCTGCTCCCTGGGGTATTGGGCCTAAGCTGGCAGTCAGACATCCTTCTGGCATCCTGGGAGCCCTCGGGGAATGTCCTGGATTGTGAGGGGGATGTCCGACTGCCAGTTTATTAGGCCTAAACCAGCAGTCAGACATCCCCAGAGGTGTCCTAGATTGTAGAAGGTGCAGGCTGGGCTGAGAGGACTGCCCCTCATAGACGAATTTCATGCACTGGGCCTCTAATCTAATCAAATAAAAGAGAAACATGTAAATTGACCATACCTTCGCTACGTCCCAAGCCACGCCCACCAGCCAACCAGAGTAACTATATACAAATTAACCCAACCAAGATGGCGGCTGGCAGCCATGGAGCAAGAGCAAGCAGGAGGCATGGTTGCCCCGGCGATGGAGGGAGTCAAGCTTCCCGCCTGCCCTGGCCAGCTCTGGCCTCTGCTTAAGGCAACAAAGTTTCAAATATAGAAGATAAATAAACCACAAAATCCCTGCTTCCAGCCAGCCTTCACTGGGAGCTTGGGTGGCTGGGGGCCATGGCTGAAAGGACAGAACAGGGGTGGGGGGCGTCCTGCTAGGGTGCCTGGCCAGCCTGGGTGAGGGGCTGATGGCTATTTGCAGGCTGGCCCAGCCCCCCAGCAAGGACCCTCACCCCATGAGGGTGTGGCCAGCCTGGGTGAGGGACTGATGGCTGTTTGCAGGATGGCCACACCCGCTTCAGGGTGGAGGGTCCTGCTGGGTTCCCTGGACAGTCTGCTTGAGGGGCTGATGGTTCTTTGCAGGCTGGCCAAGCCCCCCAGCAGGGACCCTCACCCCATGAGTGTGTGGCCATCCTGGGTGAGGGGCTAATGGCTGTTTGTAGGCTGGCCACAGCCTCCAGCAACCCAAGCTCCCAGTGAGGCTGGCTGGAAGCAAGTATCTGGGATTTATTTATCTTCTATAATTGAAACTTTGTTGCCTTGAGCAGAGGCCACAGCCGGCCAGGGCAGGCGGGAAGCTTGGCTTCCTCCATCGCTGGTGCAACCAAGCCTCTTGCTTGCTCCAGCTCCGTGGCTGCCCGCTGACATCTTGGTTGGGTTAATTTGCATATAGTCACTCTGATTGGCTGGTGGGTGTGGCTTGGGGCATAGCGAAGGTATGGTCAATTTGCATGTTTCTCTTTTATTAGATTAGATAAGACATCTCTACAATGCTACAATTGCTCTATATTTCTCTCTTCCATTTTCTCCATATATCATAAATATAACTGTAAGAGAATATTGGCCTGCTTAATAACATTTATTTAAATGTCATATAAAAAGAGCACATATTCTCAAATAAGCAGGAAACTTAATGAAGGTAAACACTTTTTCACTGGTGTATACCCAGATTGAACAAAGTGCCTGGTCCACAATTGGCACACAGTAAGTGCATGTTCAACAGGTAGGTACTGGTAATAAACTGGGATGTAGAAATGTAAATTCAGCAAAAAGATACTCTGAAATATTAAATAAATAATTAAAAGGTTAAAATTAAATGTTGACATGAGAAAGTCAAGCTTATTTATGTATAAGGAAAGATAGTACAGTGAGGCCTTGACTTACGAGTTTAATTCATTCTGTGATGGAGCTCATAACTCAAATTACTTGTATGTCAAATCAATTTTCACCATTACAATGACACGTGATGCTGGGCTGATGTTGTGGCGTTCACTGTGAAGTTCGCTGCACCAGCTAGCGGTGGGGTATCTGAAGCTGGCTCGTAACCCGAATTTTAGCTTGCAACTCAAAGCAAAAAATCTGCCGAGAGACGGCTCATATCTCGAACAACTCGTTAGTCGGGACACTCGTAAGTCAAGGCCCCACTGTATAAATTAAAAACACTTTATTGAGATTGTTAGAGAATTTAATTTAATTCAATTCAGCAAATATTTATTGAGTTTTTTGTTAGATTGAATGAGCTTTGGAGCCAGAAAAACTTGGGTATAAATTTAGTGTTTGGAGATTCAAAGAAGAGAGAAAGACATACATTTGATGGATTTCTATTAAAGATGATATTTGATATGAGCCTTAAAGAATGGCTGAGCTGTGAAAGATAGAGAAGGGATGGGGGTGAACTTCAGAAGCCTAAAAGGTAGAAGAGGTTTTTAATGTCAGGTTGTAACATTCTCTAATTCAAATTGGCAACAAGGCCAGGGTGATTAGAATAATAATGGTTTCTTTTCAAATCAGAAAGTTAGAAATTTTAGGAAGAAAGGGACAATGATGAGTTTAGTGGGAAGCAGGCAGAGCTCCTGAGAGGGCTGTTCAGCAGAGCAGGCAGCTAAGAATATAAGGCAGGACTAGAAGGAGGTCTTTGGCTTTCTCTGCACATAAAGAAGATCTCTGTGGTACAGAATCAAGGGAATGGAAAGAACACACTTATGGGAATAGGAGAATCTATACTGAGGACATGACAGAAAGAAGGGCAGCTTATGAAAAACATTTAAGGGCCAGTGAGTTAGTAAAGAAGTACTATGGAAGATTTTGGAAACTTGGCTTTAAATGCTATGCAGAAATCAAGGAATAGTCGAACAGAAAAAAATAACAACATTGCATTTAGACATTCAGAGATCTAAAATATGGGATAGATGTTAAAATACAATATAATTTTGACTATATATATGAGATATAGTATATGTCGGTGATGGTGAAACTATGGCACGCGTGTCAGAGGTGACACACAAACTCATTTTTTTGGTTGATTTTTCTTTGTTAAATGGCATTTAAATATATAAAATAAATATCAAAAATATAAGTCTTTGTTTTACTATGGTTGCAAATATCAAAAAATTTCTATATGGCACCAGAGTTAAGTTAGGGTTTTTCAAAATGCTGACACGCCAAGCTCAAAAGGTTCACCATCACTGGTATATGTGGTAGGCAGTTAGACAGACATGAGCAGAGCAAGGACAATGGGCCAGGTTCAGAAGCTCACCAGGGTGGAAAGCCCCAGATGCCTAGCAACGGGCAAAACTGGGAGAACAAGGACCTTGCCCCAGGGTGACTTTTCCTTCCTTAGCACATCACTGGTCATGCGGTTTAAACCCATCGATCTTCCATATCGCTGGTTGTGCAGTTCAGATCCTCTCTTGACCTTTCATATCACTGGCCATGCGATTCACCCTCCCCTGACCTTTCCTCCCATGGCATATTGCTAGTCATGTGGTTTTAGACTCCCTTAGAGGAGGAACAAGGGGCCAGAGAATAGCCTCATATGACTCCCATGAAAGCCCTTGCATGACCACTCCCTTAAGCAGGACAATGAAGTTTTGACTGGTATCAAGTAATCTTAGGATCAAAGCCTTGGGTCAAACTAGAGAAGACATTTAGGCCTCAGCTGTGTTTCAGCTCCATGCCCAGAAAAGCAGCAAAATCAGATGGAGAAACTCCATAGCTGACATCAGGACCAATGCAGTGACTATTTACCCCCTGCCCTGCCACTGACCAATCAGTGGAGACCATGAACCTGAGAGGACACCTAGAAACTGATGAATATTCATTGAGATCCTCCCCTGAGATCTTCCCTAAAATCCCTGCCTTTAAAAACTGATAGAACTACTCAAGGTAAAGGAAACTAGCACAGGCTCTCAGGAGCACACCCATGCCTTTCTTCCCCCTTTCTCTGGCATGTGTATCTGCTTTCTTTCTCCTAAGCTCTAAGGATCCAGGTGAGACATGCAACCTGGGGAGCAGTGGGCAGTGGCAGTTTGTCCTGGGCTTACCACCTAAATCTGTCTCCAAGACTCCCTTTTCTCTGATTTTTCAGTGAGGTGACAGCAGCCCTACCATGGCTCACTTCTGTCCCTATGACTTTTGTTTCTCGGTGAGTCGATGCGGCCCCATGTATGGTTCACTTCTTTCATATAAAGTTTCTGGGGAACCAAAGCAGAGCACTGCCTAG